CCCCAGGGCAGAGTTTTGCCTGGTATTTTCCCACTTGATGCACACAACCTAGAATGGGCAGTCTTGAGTGGGTGGAATGAACTGGGTTGGGTGGAGGCCAGCCTTTCAGGAGCCTGGGGGGGAGTGGGCACAGCATACTGGGTACAGGCAGGGCCACATCCAGCAGTTTTGCTGACTGAAGGTCTCATGGCTGCCTGGCTCCAGGAGGCAGGGGTGCCCCGCTCCCAGAATCCATCAGAGTTGGCCCTTGTGGTTCTTCCAGGCCTACTCATCCCAAATGCCCAGAATGGCCTCCCTGTCTCCTTCTGACAACAGAGTGGCTCCTGGGCACCTGCCTGCTCAGCCCAGTCCACCTAGGCTGCAGGCTCAGCTCTCCTTCCACCGCCTTAGAACACAAGTCCCCTCGCTGTGAGAAAAACCCTGGGCAAGGACTTGGGCTCCCTAAGCCTCATCCACCTGACTGTCTCCTTACCCCTCAGTCCAGCTCAGCTCTGCTCTCTAGGCATCACTCCCTTGATTTGTGGGGGATTCCCTGACAGAGAGACCAGGTTCCTGTGTTGGCCACACTGGGGCCTCTTGTCCTCCTCCCCAAAGGGGCAGATGAAATAAGCCAACACAGGGTGCCCTGTACAACACCCAGGGCAGGCAGAAAGGACGTGGCGGGTCAGACTTATCTTCTCACACCCCTTTAAGTCAAACAGCCCTGCTCTATTCCACTCAGAAAACCAAGTGAGGGCACTGGTAGCCCGAGGCTCCTCAGAAGGCCGTCCTTTCCTATGGTGTCCTCCCAACCACTCATCAACTTCCAAGGAGAGAGGAAGCTGTGCAGGAGGTGGACAGAACTCAAGTGATCAAAGCAAACCTCATCAGTGCTGCCAGTGTGGTGATGCACACTTGTAAACCCAGCAGAGGCAGAGGTAGGATTGAGGTCGAGGTCAGCCTGGGCTACATAGACAGACCCTGGCTCAAAAAAACAAAATCAAAACAAATCAACAAGATACGAGTCAATGGATCACAGGACAAGGACACACAGCCAAATCACATCACGAGGACAGTTGTAGAATCATGTCCTCCCAAAAATGTGCATCCTTTAACTCCTGGAACCTGTATTTGACCTTACATAGTAAAGGGGACTTTGCGGGTATGAATGAGGTCACAGACCTTGGGATGAGATTATCCTGGATTATCCAGATGGGCCCAATCTAATCACGAGTCCTTAAAATCAGAACACTTTCCCCAGCTGGGTCAGAGATTCAGAACAAAAGCTTTAACCTCCCTCTCCTTTCTTCCCCTCGTGGCTGACTTTAAAGATCCAGAAGGGACCCACGAGCCAGGGAATATGGTGGCCCTTTGACACTGAGAACTATCCTTAGTTTGGAGTTGGCAAGTAAACAGGGATCTTGATCCTGCAACCCTAAGGAACCAAGTTCTGCCAACAGCCAAATGATCAGAAAACAGACTCCCCCAGAGCTTCTAGAAAGAAAGATCGTCTGCCTTTGGTCCAGTGAGATCAGAACTGGACTTCTGACCTCCAGAACTGAGAGAAAGTAAATTTGTGTTAAGTTGCTGAATTTGTGATAGCTTGCTATAATAGCAATAGCAAACTGATGTAACGAGTAGCCATCAGACAAACCCCCAATTGAGGGCCCTGGGTTTCATTATCAAGTGCACAGAAAGAACACCTCAAATTGGGTGTAATCCCAGCTACTGGGGAGGTAGAGTTCAGGAGGAGAGAGAGTTCAAGATCGGCCTGAACAGTTAGGGAAACCCTATCTCAGAAACAAAATTAGGGCTAGCTGGGGAAGTAGCTCAAGTGGTGAAAGCGCCTTCCACAGCAAGCATGAGGCCCTGAGTTCAAACTCCAGTGCAACAACAACAAAAAAGAAACAACATAAAAACAAAAGGGCTGGGGCATGAGTCATGGCAGAGTGCTTGTCTAGTATGCTCTAGTCTCTGGGTTCAAGCCTCAGTACTGAAAACAAACCAACCTTCAAAAACAAACCAACAAAAAACCCAAAACTCAAAAAGAGCTAAATAGAAAAATGGGCAAAAATGAGTATGGACTGCACAAAAGAAAAATGAACAATGAAAATATGAACAGATGACTAACCTCCTTTGTAATTAGGGAGAAGAAATTTAAGCCACAATGTGATTCCACTTTATTCGCCAGATTGGCCAAATTGATGATACCAAATGTTGGGGACAGCAATAAAGCAGGGGGTCCACAATTTACAGCCCTTGGATCAAATTGGGCCCTGAGTTCAAACCCCAGTTCCATAAAAACAAAACAGAATAAGATCCTTCCCAAAGACAAGTCACTTGAATGTTGAGGGTTTTTTTTTTTTTTTGTAGTGCTGGGTTAGAACCCAAGGCCTCATGCATGCTAGGCAAGTGCTCTTCCACTGAACTACATCCCTAGTATCAATCTGACTTAACAGAAAAAGTTAGCCAACCTCTGATGAGGAACTCTTATAGTGACTTTGAAGAGCAATTTGGCAATATCCAGTGAAGTCATAGGAGTGCACCCGCTTGCATCTGCAATTCCACTTGCAGGTATTTAGAGAAACTCTAACATACAGACATTAAGGAGACAGGTACAACAATTTCACTGCATCACTGTTTACAACACTGAGTAACTGGAAACGACTCAGGTGCCCGTCACAGGAGAATGGACATATACTCCAGGCTTTTGAAACCACAGAATTCTGCAGAACAGCAAGCATGACTGACTCATCCACGCAACGTGATGGTGAATCTCACAAACAATGTTCAATGAGAAAGTTGCAGAAGTTAGCATAAAATATTCCATAATGTAAAAGTTATGTAAATTTTGCATTATGTAAAAACGAAAAAATGTTCTATTCTAATGCACTATGGAATTAGTTGGCCTGCAACTTTGGTTTCATGAAACAGAATCCAAAATAACAGTAGCAGGAGTCTGTCTTGACCTCCACGGAGTAGTTGAGAGAAGGCAGTCAGGGACTGGTACAGTGACTCTGCTCCATGACATTGTCCAGTGATCTAGGTTCCTTCTAGCTTGCTTTTCCACTCCTGCCACAGTCCTGCCCTTGTCCCCATTGTCCATGATGGCTTCTTATCACCATGTCTTGTGTTCCAAGCCACAGGATGGAGGGGCAGATCCCTCAGGATGGACCTAGAAATTGCTGTCATTTCTGCTCACTTTCTCATTGGCCGGAACTTAGTCACATGGCCACTCCTTCCTGCAAGGAGTGTGTGTGTGTGTGTGTGTGTGTGTGTGACAATACTGAGGTTTGAATTCAGAACCTTGCTAGGCAGATGCTCTATCTTTTGAGCCATACTGCTGGGCTAAAATAAAATACATTCTTTATTGTGGTAGCTGTACGTGCAGTCCAAATCCTGATTATAAATGAATAATGATGAAATGCAGACAGTGATGATCCCAGGATGGCAGGGAAGCGGGGAGAAAGGTGGAATTGAGGAGGAACTCAAAGAGAATATCCAAGTTTCTGGGGTAGCACTCTGTTCTTAAAGCTGAATGTCCGTTCCATGGATTTGTTACTCATTAAAACATACATATAGCGGGGCTCCCGTGGTTCACGCCTGTAATACTAACTACTTGGGAGGCTGAGGTGGACAGGATCGCAGTTCTAGGCCAACCTGGGCAAACAGTTGGTGAGACCGTCTCCCTCCCCATTTCCAAAGTCTCCCAGACCAAAATGGACTGGAGGTGTGGCTCAAGTGGTAGAGCACCTGCTTTGCAAGTGTGAAGCCCTGAGGTCAAACCCAGGCCCACCAAAAAAATGAGACAGGCGTTTATGATTTTGGCTTTGTCTTTAACTTCTCTCTACGCTGGCATTTCTTCTTCCTCTCCTGTCTGAGGGCGGGACGGAGCCTTACCCGGTAGCTGCCCTGCCTCTCGTCTAAGACATAAAATCCTATGCAAGCTCGTCTCCCCTGGCAGCCTCTCCCAGCACCCTGTAATTCCTCCCATGCACAATGGCCGCCCCTTGGAGTTACTTACTTGCACCGGCGGCCTGCCTCACCCCTCCCACCTCCCGGCCAGGCACCAGGAATTCACTGATGCGGGTCCTTCTCCCCCCCAGCCTCCATTTCTACAGAACTCTCATTTGTCCTGCAAGTGCTAGCCTAGAAAACACCCCTTCTTGAAGCCCCCTGGGTCGCTCCGGTCTCTCCCGCCCTCTCATTCCGCTCGCTCTTCTCACCGTAGGGCGTCACATTCTTCCCTCCCACTGCTCCGGGAGCGGATCCGCGGGGTACCGGGGCCGAGCACATCCCCACGCCCCCTCCGACGAGCAGCGTGGTTCCCCGGAGCCTCGGCCTCTCATCTGTAAAACCTAAGTGCTTTTCATCTAAGTTACAGCACGCGCACGAAGCTATCTGTCCTGGGGGCTCGAACCACCATTTCTCTCCAAAAGAGGCAGCGCCCCCCTTTTTCTCCCGACCTCGACTGCTCTTCTGGATGGAGGCCCTATGGGAAGATTCCCTTGTCCTCCAGCCCCATCTGAACCAGGAGAAAGAGCGCAGACCGGCAAGAGCAGCGAGGAGTTCCCGGCAGGTGCGAGGGCGCCTGGCTGGGGTCCAGTCCGGCTCCGGCCACGCCCCCTCCGGGCCCTTACACGCCTACCAATGAGAGATTGCCTGGCGTCCAGCCTCGCCCCCGCCCGGGCCTCCTGAACGCTCGGGGTCCACCTCTCGTTGGCTGGCGTCCCGCTTAGACCCGCCCCCTGTGGCGTCACTTCCGGGTGGGAAGCTCGCGGAAGGCGGAAGTTTGTGAGACTGAGGCGGCGAAGCGGAGCTGAGGTGTGGCTAGCGTTGCCTGAGGCTCTTCCGGGTCTGGGTTGAGAAGCTTGCAGGCGGCCGCGGGAGCGAGAAAGGACGATGCCAGCGAGACAACCGCGGGGCCTCGTGGGGTCTGGAAGCTGACCTTGTCCGCTGCTTGCCCCAGATCCCTTCTTCCAGGCAGTCATCTGCGCCGCCACGGTCCCCAGACCCTAAAAATGACCGCGGCAGCCGCCTCAAACTGGGGGCTGGTCACGAACGTGGTGAACAGCATCGTAGGGGTCAGCGTCCTCACCATGCCCTTCTGCTTCAAACAGGTGAGTCAGCGCCGCGGTGGCCCGGGACGGCGCGTGGCCGGCGGTCGGGGGAGGTTCTCTGCTCGGTCCGATCGGATAGCGGGGCTGGGTGCAGAGCCCAGCGGGGAGGGACGGAGGGACGGAGGGACAGAGGGACAGGTGCACCCCGTCCACGAAGAATGCGGTGCTGGCGCGAGCAGCCTCTGCCACCCGCGCTGAGAGTCCCGCACCGCTGACAACCGTATGGAAGGGCGCAGGGAACGAAGGGGAGAAGCTGGAGGATCGGTAGTGTTTTAGCGTATTCTGTCTTTTTTTTTTTTTTCCTAAACTCGGACCATGGGCAGGCAAGCACGCAAGTCCCCCTCCCAGGCCTCCCAGGGAACTTGATTACGAGGTGATTTAAAAATTCCCCAGGTTGCGCAGCTAAGAGCTGCGTCCCACAGACAATGCACAATGGCTCTGGCCCGTGCAAGCTTCACCTCAGTTGGAAAATTGTAATATACAGAAAAGCTTGGTGTCATTCCAACATGGAAGGCCACGTGAAAAAGTGAGCAGTGCGACGTGGCTGTGTGTAGTCCACAATTGAGCAGGAAGGTTTCCGGAGGCTGATGGAAACATCGAATTCAGTAATTCCTCTTAGAACTCTGTCTTAACAAATGAGTGTGGGGCTACCCCACTCCCCACTCAGCTCATGTGTGCCACGCACACACGTCTGTCCCCTGTTGCATGGGGAGGAGGGGTAGTCATAACTGATGACAGCAAGGAGGTAAAAAATGAAAACAAGACGGACGTTTTGGGAAGTGAGATTTTAGATTAATATCCACTTGGAATTTTTCTTATTTAGCATTTTTGGAGATAAAAACATCAGTGAATTAGTTTTGATCTGGGAATTTTTGATCCTCTATAAAGAGCCCAGCTTCCCCTGGATGAGAATACATTTAAGGTTCCTGTCTGACATGGATAGTGCATGTAGGTGGGAGGACAGTTAGATGTCAGTAGAGTCCCTGTGGTGACATCTGCGTTGTGATCCCAGCATTATTGCTAACCACCTCTCAGTATTCCTGGAATGCCTAAGCATGTCAGTGTCCACAGCAACTTGCCTGGCAGCAGAACTGCATCCTGTGATGTGGAGTCTTCGCTGGTCCCACATCTATCTGCAAGTCAGTGCTGCCATCCTTAACACCTGTCTGCAAAGTGCATGTTGGATTGGCCTCTGGTTTAGACAGCAGTGAAAATATATTTTAGGGTTCACGGTGATTCAGCTATCCCTAGATTTGAAACACCTGCTGTGTGGTGGGTGTTGGGTTCCTGCTAGAGCATATAAAGATGAGCCAGGCAGGAACCTGCCTGGGAAGAGCTCGAAGCTTAGCAGGGAGCCCCAAGTACAAGGAGGACTAGACACATTCACGCTGCGTCTGGAGGGCCTGCCAGCTGCTCCTTCTGGGTGCAGCATCTCCTTCAGGGAAAGTTCCTTGGGCTGGGAGGCCAGCGGGCTCTTTGGGGATGTGTATGTTTAGTGCTCAGCAGCCATGTCATTAAAATTTTTTTGGCTTAATGCTTTTTTTGGTTTCAGTAATTCTGTACTTTAGGTGTACAAAAGTACACATTAGGTGTAGTCTTGATGAATCTTTGCAAAGTGAGTGAAAACGTGACTCATTTTGCATTGAGGGACGCCCCCATGCTGGCACCCCTGCCAGTCACTGACCACCAAAGGTCCCACGGCCCACTCCTGGTGCCTGAGGTCAGTGTTGCCAGTTTTTTTTGCACTGGATTTTGAACTTGGCCTCACACTTGTTAGGCAGGTGCTCTTACTGCTTGAGCCATTCCACCAACCCATTTTTGTGATGTGTTTTATTTTTTGGTACTGGGGCTTGAACTCAGGGCCTTCACCTTGAGCCACTCAATCAGTCCCTTTTTGTGAAGGGTTTTTCGAGGTAGGATCTTGAGAACTATTTTGTCCTGGCTGACTTCAAACTGTGATCTTCCTGATCTTTGCCTCCTTCGTAGCTAGGATTACACGTGTGAGCCACTGGTGCCTGGCTTAATGTTGCCTGGTTTTACCTGGAGTTAGGTAGAGTTGTAGTGGGTGTACAGTTGATTCAGCATCTGGGTAATGTCCCATCATATGGGTATTCCGCAGTGTGTTTATTGTGCCTTTGTAAGGCATCCATGGCATCCCGTTTGGAGCTCTTATGACAAGAGCTGATGCAAACACAGTTGTGGATCTACCAGTGTATGCTCCCAGCAGCAGGTATCTGAGGCTCAAGTGCTCTGTGTCCTTTGCAACATTTGGTATCGTGTGTCTTTGAGGCATCTCATGAGAGTTTGGTGATCTCATTGTTTCTTTGAATTGATAGGCCTTTATTTCTTAGCAGTTTTAAGTTTACAGCCAATTGAGTAGAAAGTACAGGGAGTTTGAGTGGGTCCCCTTCTTGTCCCCCCAGTCTCCCTTTGGTTAAAATCTTGCACTGTTGTGATGGTGCTAATGTTTTAAATGTCAGAGTTATTGAGGGATAGTTCACATGCAATGAAATTCACCCGTTTTAGGGTGTGGCTCCAGCATTTTGATATATGTGTACAGTTGTGCAGTCATGGAACGGTTTCATTACCTCAAAAAGTCACCTCTGCCCCTTTTTCCACCACTCTAACCCTACCACCGTGACCTGTTTTCCGACCCCACAGTTATGCCTTTCTTGAATGTCTTGTAGGTGACATCACTGACTTTGCTGTAGCTTCTTGTCCTCAGCATGGTGCATTTGAAATGCATCCTTCCTTGTGCAGGGTTAGTAGTTTCCTTTTTACTGTTAAACTATATCCTTTGTTGGACTGGAGGTGTGGCCCAAGTGATAGAGCACCTGCCAGGCAAGCATGAGTTCAAACCCTAGTACCACCCCCCAGCCCCAAAAAGTAATATTCCTTTCCATGGATGAACCACAGTATGTCTAGTTAACTACTAAAGGGGATTTGGGTTGCTCTTCAATTTCGGGGTTATGGTTAAACCTAATGTAAATGTATTGGACATGTTTTCATTTCTCTTGGGAAATTACCTAGGAATATAATTGTGGGGTCACAAGTGTCTGTTTACCTTATAAGAAAGGCATATGCGTCATTTTAAATTTCTTCCATCTAGCCTCTAATGTGTTGATGTGTGAGGTAGAAACGAGGACAGTGTTTAGTTTTGTAAATGTCTCTTTTTCTTTCCTCTCTCCAGTGTGGCATTGTCCTGGGGGCCCTGCTCTTGGTCTTCTGCTCTTGGATGACACACCAGTCATGCATGTTCTTGGTGAAGTCTGCCAGCCTGAGCAAACGGAGAACCTACGCTGGTCTGGGTGAGGATTAACTGTTAGAGTGGCTGCTGGGCTCTGTTAGGCACCTTCCTAAGAAGTGTGCTGTTCCAGTGGGGGTTGGGGGTGGGTGGGTGGGGTTTTATTTCTCTTGTTTAGTTACTTTACTCTTTTTAAAATTTTTTTATTTATTAGCATGTTACAGTTGTACTGGGGGTACATTGTGTCATTTACAAAAGTGCCTTCAATAGATCTTAGATTCACCCCTCCATCCTTCTCCTTTATCCCCCTCCTCCCCATACTTTATGTTTAAATTTAAAAAAGTACCAGACAGCAGTGTTTTTTATTTTAAATTTTTTTGGAGGTACTACGGTTTGAACTCAGCTTCACACTTGCTAGACAGGCGCTCTACCTCTTGAGCCATACCTCGAGCTCTTTTTGTTCTGATTGATTTGGAGATAGGATCTCACTTTTTGCCCAGGCTGGCCTGGACCACAGTCTTCCTGTTTTATGTGTCCCGCCATCACTGGGATGACAGGTGCACGCTACCATGCTGAACTTTTTTCTGTTGAAATGGAGTCTCACAAACTTTTTTGCCTGGGCTGGCCTGGAACCCTGATCTTCCCAATCTCAGCCTCCCACATATCTTGGGTTGATAGGTTCATGCCGCCATGCCCAGCTATTGGTTGAGATGGGGTCTTGCAAACTTTTTGCCTGGGTTGGCCTTGAATGACAATCCTCCCAATTGATCTCAGCCTCCCACGTAGCTAGAATTATAGGTGTGAGCTACACACCTATAATTAAAATTATTTTTATTTTAAAATTTAATGTAATTAAATAAAAAAAAACTGAACCACCTGCTTCAGAATTGAAGTGAGATGGAAAATACAAAGTCAAAGTTTCTCTCTTGTCCTTAACCTCCTGTGCTCTTTGAGCAGATGCACATGTAGTCCCCTCTCTGAGTTTAGCAGTGCTGGCTACAGCCCTGCACAGCCTCCTGCTAGCTTGCTGTGTGACTTTCCCTGGTCCCAGAAGTCTCCCTGAGACTGCAGAAAGGAATCCTGCAGAAGTCTCTACTTGGCTTCCTTTCTTCCAGTGTTGCTGATTGCAATTTTGTTCCCTTTAGTTCATTGTTTCTTCCCTTTTATTACGGTTTTAGCCAGAAAGAGCAAATGGTACACTTTCTATTTTATTTCAATTTAGAATCTTTTCTAGCTAGTTTGTCTTTGAGGGCACCATCCCTTATTTTTCTGTCACCACTCAGGCTGGTGTGTAAATCCTGCTTCTCTTCTGCCTGCTTTGGCCCAGGCTCTGAGTCTCTCTGCTGTGTGGTTCACTTGGGGGTCATTTGGTGTAGGTGTTGAAATGCTACTTTTCTGTTCTTGGGGCTTAGCTCTGCAAGTATATGGTGAAATTCCTGGCCTCCTCATAAAGCACCTGACTCTCCAGCCAGTGCGTGGCCTGGGGTGCTGGGCTCTATCCACAGAGGGGCAGCCTGAACTCAGCTCCCAGCTCTCAGTGCAGAAGAAGGAGGCAGGGGCAAGAGGAAACAGAATGCAGAGTTCCAGGGGCCAAGAAAAGTAGTGTAAAGTAAAGCAATTTTTAAAACCTGTGAATATAATTACCTGCTTCAGAATTGAAGTGATACAGAAAGATACAAGGTGACAAGTCTACCCTTGCCTTCCTCCAGAGGTTCATTTTGGTCTTCTGTAGTGTGGTCTGCATGTGGGCTCTTGTTTCCTCTCAGTCAGCTTGGTAGTCACCTGGAGACCCTGGTGTTTGCTCCTGACCTTAGAATGCAAGGGATTTCTTTCTTTCTTTTTTCTGTTTCTTTTTTTTTTTTTTTTGTAGTACTGTGGTTTGAACTAAGGGCCTACACCTTGAGCCACTCCACCAGCCCTTTTTTGTGATGGGGTTTTTTCAAGATAGGGCTGGCTTTGAACAGCAATCCTCCTGATCACTCTTCCTGAGTAGCTAGGATTGCAGGCATGAGCCACTGGCACCCGGCTCCCAAGGGATTTCTTCTCTTTCTGCTCTGATGACAGTAGTGCTCTGTCTTTTATCATTGTCACTTGAGGAAGTGAGGCTTATCAACTAAACTTGATCCACACTGAGATGGCCTAGTTCCGCTTGGGATGATGTGCCCCACCAGAACTTGGGGTGAGGTGCTTGGGGGTATGCTTTGTGGCCTGCAGAACTGTGGCCTTTTTTCTGCTGAGGTCTCCACCTGGGTTTTGTAGCTAAGGCTGCAGCTCAAGTTCTCCTTGCATCCTGAAAGAAGACATGAGACCCTAGGCTGGGGAGGTCATAGCTTCTGATAGCTGACTGGCCAATTCTTCGAAAGTCCCTGAAAAGTCAAACTGGTTTGGCTAGATGTGAAAGATTTGAAAGAAAATTGCCAGATGGATACTCCTGTATTTTGGCTGCCTGGGGCTCCAAACTTCACTGAATGGGGTGACTGCTAGAAGTCAAAAAGATTTCTGAACACCAGTGGTCTCAGATTAAGCCTTTGATGGAAGTCTCCTTGGCCTGTGCACTCAGCCCTAGTTTCCTTTTGTCTTCAGAGGTGAAGAGACTGACTGCATGGGAGCCTTGTGGGACATTGGCACCCGAGAGCAGGAGAGAGGAAGATCTCCTGGTGCCTGTCTTGTGGAGGGGTGGCCCTTCAGGCAGTGTGCAGCCCTCTCCTGTGGCTTGACACAGACACTATCTAAGAGGGCCTTTCTTCTTTGGCCTCCATCCTCTTTTCTGGACAAGGATGCCCCATACACTTGTGCTGCAGTCCAACAAGGTAATCTGGGAGGAGAGCCCCTCATTGCTTTGAGGTATAACAAGGCCATCAGACAGCCTCTGTCTACAGATGTGCAGGAGTGTCTTATGGACTGGGTCATTGACAGCTGCCAGTGAGATGGGCAAATGGCCTTTGTCCAGACCTGGAGACTGCAGAAGATGCTGCTATTGGTTGAGATGGGGTCTTGCTGGGGAAGTGATCTCTCCTGACTGACACTGCCTCTCTCCTCCAGGCCTTGGAGAGTGAATGTTGCCAGTGTGGAGAATCACAGCACAGTGGGTTTTGTTGGTGGATTTGTGCATGTTTCTGTTTTGTTTGCTTTTGCTGTCGTGGTGGTTCTGTGGTTTTTATAACCTTCTCCCCTCCCATTTCCTTACCCAGCTTGTTACACTTCACGTAGTCTTTTCTAAACCTCATTCTATTTTAAAAGATATACAGACATATCAGAGTCAACTACTTTAGACATAATTATATTCATGAAACTGTTCTGAGCTCTGGACCCTGCCCTGATCCGAGTTATGCCCTGAGCCCAGGGTTTGTGGTCTCTCCCCCATCAGCAAGGACCACTTGGCATTTGTCTCTGAGTTTCTAGTTGTGAACAGTGGGTATTGTTAGTGCTATGTCACCTTGGCCCATTGCTCTTGATCAGTGTGCCTCCCATTTCTCCAGGGTCTGGGGTTGTGCATCCAGTGGCCTGTGCAGCTCAGACTTCCTCGCTGTTTGTCCTTGTGGCATGTGACCCATGCATCTGTTACTAGACTTGGGAAACAGGGCTTTGAAAACAGGCTCTCTGGCACCAGATTCTTTACTCCCTCCAATCCCCCTTTAGCTGACAGATGTTTATTGTACACCTGCCCTGTGCTACTGGACCTGTGCCCATGCAGCATTGGGGACCCCAGTGCCATTCCTCTCCTGACCCCAAGAGCAGCTGGGTTGAGATCACTGGCTGTTCTTCTGTGCTTTGTATGTACCCCCATGAACAGCATCCCTCCTCCCATTCTGCCTTGCTGGTGCAGGTTAGAGTAAGAGTCAGCTCTGCTTAGTCCTGGGAAGATGGCCCTGTGTCTCAAGGTGGGTCAGGTGGAGAGCATGGGGACCTTCCTGACACCAGGGCTAGCTGGCTGCCTGTGCAGACTGCCCTGAATGAAGAGAGAGAGCCTGACCTACCTAGGGAGTCAGAGAAGGGCGTGCCAGTCTACACTGAGGTGTCCTAAGAACCTGTAGGCAGTGTGGGTGTGGGTGACCCAGGGAAAGAGAAGAGGGAACAGGGAAGCCACAGTGATGGTCTGGTCTTGGCACTGTTGCTGCTTAGGGCGAGCTTCTAGGAGAGAGATACCTCCCACTGGACGCTGGATTTCTGATGACCTTCCACTTTCTTGTATCTGGGATGCAGGCGTGTTCTGGAACTTTCTGGGTTAGAATACTTCAGTGTTTGGAGGATGCTGTAGACTCTCCAACTTCCTTTAGGGGAGTAAGAAGGAATTGGAGTTGGTAGGTTCCCAGGACCTCTATGTGTGAGGCTGGGATCCTTGTGTTGTGCCTGAGTGTGCTGGTGCCAGGACTCAGATACCTTGAGCAGCTACCTGCTGGTAGTGCTTTTGGAGTTATTAGTGTTTGAAATTCTCAGCTTAGACCTTGACCAGCATTAGGAATACAGTAGAGATCTGGGTTGGGTTTCCCACCTTGTTAGATGAACTTGTAGGGTGCCAGGCTGTCAGCCAAGTCTAGGAAAGGCCAGAGTGACCCCTGCAGGCAGAAGCCTTCTCTGATCTCAGGCTGAGTTGAGGCAGAAGCCAGCTTTCAGTCTCTTGCCAATGCTATGCCTCTTCCTAAGTAAGTTAAAAGTAACAAGGAATGTGTTTGGTTCATTCATACCAATGGGCCTCGTGTTTCCTGCTCTTCAACCTTGTTAGAGGGCCTCTGGCCCAGTGTGAAGGAGCAAACAAGGGGCAGGAAGTTGGGGCTGTCGATGAGGCTGAATCCATCCTGTCACATGCACCCTGTTGGCTGTTCCTTGGAGACCAAAACTTCCTTTTGCCCTAGTCCAGCTGGACCATGGGGTGACTTGATCACTGTTAAGGTCCTGGGAGGGACCTCTTCGAGTCAGCATTTAACTTCTCATCTGCTAGAAATAGTTCTGGAGTCAGGAAGGAAAGACAGAGTCTCCTTTCCTGGTAGGACACATGCTATTCATCAGCAGGACTCTTACCGCCATGCGCCTTGGGCACTGATTGGCAAGCCCCAGAGTTCTTGTTCCCTCCCTCCCCGCCTCTCTCCCCAAAGTGCCGTGTTTGCAAGGATTCTGGTTTCTTCTATAAATCACAACCAAAGGATGAGCATAAAGCTCTCTGCAGTGTGGTACAGGCTGTGAAAATTGGGTTCTGGAGCAGGGGCTGAACCTTCCTAGTGTCTCTGAGCTCTGGTGGCCCCCACCTGTAGGTGGGGCCACCTCTGCTGCATTGGCACTGTTCTAGGCAGGTTCCCTCATGGTCACCACATGTGGGAAACTGCTACTTTGCAGGGGCTTCTCTTTTCTTTTTTCTTTTTACAAAACATACCTTGACATCTCTCTGTCTTTAAAAAAAATTTTATCATGTGGAAAGAATATCCTGCCTTATGTCTCCCTTGCTTTATTCTTGTTCCACATGGTTTCATTTGTGGATGGTAGGTCCAAAGAAAGTCTGGAGTGCTGAGGGTGTAGCTTAGTGATAGAGCACTTGTCTAGTATGCACAAGGCCCTAGGTTTTATCCCCATCTCCACAAGAAAGAGAAGAAAAGCTGGAAGACTAAAACTTAAAAGTTTTATTCCCCCTTATGCCCATGAAACTCCAGACCAACAGATGTTTGTCAAATTGCCCTTCACAACTTAACTTAATAACTTTTTACTGACATGCTTCTCACACTGTTGGATTGAGCGCTTGTTTTCTTTTTTTGTGTGTGCTAGCATTTCATGCCTATGGAAAAGCTGGAAAGATGCTGGTGGAGACCAGGTAAGTAGTGCAGCCTTGCTTGGTTACTCTCTTCTTCTTTGTCACCTGCAGCTGTGGAGAAACTGGAGCCTGTTAGGAAATGAACGATATATTTCACATGTGGATTGGTTTATAGCCCCTAATATGTTTCTGAAGAGTTACTTTCTGAATAGCTGAAAGTTCAATTTATTGTACCTTTAAAATGATTGTTGTCAAGGTTGAAAGCCTCATTTAAGTCTTACTAAGAAGTATATAAAAATGGAAAACTTGAGGAACACAGCAAAATAGCTCTCCCTGTTGCAGCTAATCTCTCAATGCTGTTCCTTAAACTGTACCCCCAACACTGCTGCATAAAGGTGGTATTAAACTGAAAATGTCATGTTTTTTCCCTTTGGAGTAAAATTTTATGAGATGAAAAAATTGCTAGGAAATTGCACTTTTAGGCTTCTAAATTAGAAAATTGTAAACTCGAAAGCCTTTTTTGGAAGCAGTTGATTGTTCTTTTAACTTGTCTAACATCACTGCAGTTTTGTTGTACCTGAAAGAACTTTCTGAACCTCCCGTGGAGAGAAAAATACACAAACACACAGAGAAAAGTTCAGTGTTGTTCTGTATTCACTCCAAATGCAATGGAGAGCACCCCAAAGCATGCCAGAGTCTTGTGAGTGTGGGTGTTGGAAGTTGCATCTCATTAAGCCAGCCTTGGGCAGTCCTATGTCAGCACAGACCAGGGATGGGGGCGCCTGGGCTGTGATTCTATAAAGGGGCCCAGCTTTAGTCACAACAAGACGGCACACTTTTTCAGTCATCATTTCAAACCTATGCTTTCCTTCTTTTCAGCATGATCGGGCTGATGCTGGGAACCTGCATTGCCTTCTACGTTGTGATCGGTGACTTGGGGTCCAACTTCTTTGCTCGGCTCTTTGGGTTTCAGGTAAGGGCAGATGTCCTAGTCTGTTTAATATTTGTGGTGGCTTCTGTGGCAGCCCTATGTTTCCCTTTCATAAGCTGACTGAACCCAGCATGCTTAACCTGGAGAGGCTCTCCTGCGCCCTCCTGTTTACTAAGGTCCCCTGGCCTGCAGTTCAAAGGCCTTGCTGGGGTAGTGTCTGAAAGGTACCAGAAGAGGGATGGAGAGACTTTCAGGGCAGATCTGCTAGCTTGAAGGTAAGGGCAGAGTGGGGAGCCCCCCACCCCGCCACTGTGGTGTAACTCTGAGAAGGTCTCAGCTGGCCAGCACTGCCCATTAAAGAGTGGAAGTGGCCAGGTTTCTTGTGGCCACCACGTGTGGCTATTGGCTAGAGCAGCATGCTGGGAGCATGCTCCATCTTTACCCTGCTGAGGTAGGTGTAATTGCATTGCTCCTGGGGCTACTGAACTCAAACTCCGAGTTTGGCACTCCCTGCCACTGAGAGTTCTTGCCTGTGAACTGGGCCCCACACACCTCTTTTTCTCCTCCTCCCCTGCAGGAGCAGAGCTGCAGCTACGGGCTGAATAGGGAAGGGGTGGGTGCGTAATATTGGAGCGTCTTCTGTGTGAAGGGTGTCATTTATTTACCAACAGGGTGAAAAAAAGGTTTCAGTTTATAAAGACCATGGGTAAGGAGGAGGAGGGCTGGTCCTCTTCCTAAGTAGAATATGCCAGAGTTGCACATCGCCAGAGAACATTCCAGTGAGTGTTCTGTGAACTTGTCCCTAGTCTGTGTTCTGAACACGTCTTTCTGTTTGACTTTCTATCTCCTACGCTGTACTGTGGACTCTGTAGGGCTTTGGGTCAGTCCTGTGCAGACACTTGAGCCTTGTCACCTGTGGTTCCTGGGACTTGAAGGAGAAACAGTGCTAGTTGCCACTACCTGGTAGTGGTTCCCATATGGCAAGTCAGCTGTGCACAGGGCTTATCTGTCCTCATCCTCCATTTGAGTGTAGGAAGCCCTCATGCTGAGAAGTATGGGGTTGGCATAAACATGTAGGTATTTGGAACTGGGGAGAGAATGCAGAGGGACCTTTTCAAATGGTCTTGGCAGAGCTCTTATCACTTCCAGCCGGGTGCCGGCTGTGAATAAGGAACTGAGAAGCCGGATGTGCTGGCTGCAGCCAAGTTAGATATTAGATATCACCAGACCTTTGTGGGTTCTGCTATGGTAAATGCCAGTCTGGGGCTTTGTGATGAATTTTTTGGATCAGAATTTCAAGGCTCCCATCCTTGTTTTTTTTTTTTTTTTTTTTGGCGGTACTGGGGTTTGAACTGAGGGCCTCACGCTTGCTAGGCAGGCACTCTACTGCTTGAACCACACCACCAGTCCTCCCAACCTTCTTGAAGCAAACTCAGTGCTGAGTCTCATGGAGAAATGGCTGGCAGTGGGCTCCATTGGGTTCCCACCTATTCTCATCAGTTCTGGGTGTGCAGGGTGTGCCCAGGGCAGCGCAGGCCACCACCTGCTCCCACATGCAGGTGGGGACAGCTGATCTTTTTGCCCAGGCTGGTCTCATTTTTGAATGGAGCTGGACCCTGAAGGGGCCAGAAGTGGTTAGTGCACTGAACCTCACAGCATAGCAGCTGTGAGGGCTGCTTTCAGAGCAAGCGTGCCAGCCTTCAGCCTTGTCCTTTTTAATGCCATTGGTCTTCTGGACGTCTGGCTCCCCACCCTGCAGCAGCTTCCTGCCCACAACAGTATTGGCAAGATGAGCTTTGCCAGTGAGCAAGCTCAGGACTCCAGGCCATGACACCTTCTGATTTGCTTCCAGGTGACTGGCACTTTCCGTGTGTTCTTGCTGTTTGTGGTGTCCTTGTGCATTGTGCTCCCACTTAGCCTGCAGAGGAACATGATGGCCTCCATCCAGTCCTTCAGTGCCATGGCCCTCATCTTCTATACTGTCTTCATGTTTGTGGTGAGTACCATGTGTACTGTAGAAGGGTTGCTCACATTCAGTCCTTTTTGTGACTGGAGAAGGTCCATGTCCAGGTCTGGTTTACTGGCAGTTGCCTCTTGGGGGATGATGGGAAAGTGGTTCTGAGCCTGGGCAGTATGTTGACTTATTACAATGTGCTGTGGAGCCCCATGCGACTCCTGGCCGTGAGTACCAAGGGGCAGGTACAGTTGGACAGCAGGAAACACAAAGGGCTTTAGGCAAGAAGAGTTCTGAGACTGGTCTTACTCTCTACGTGTTTTATGGAAAGACCTTTCATGTGGAATTTGTGACCCAGAGTGCAATGCCAGAGTTTTGTTGCATGGTTGGCAAGTTGTTTTTCTAAATGAGTTTAGGTTAGGTTAGACTGGAAGATGAAGTGTGGAGTTGACACTGAAGACATGAGAGGCCTCACTGCTCTGCCTGCCCTGCCCCTCTAAGCCCTCAGAACCCACCCGATACTGGAAAGGTCAGAGATGATCCTTCCTGAGGGAAGGGACTTGGCATCTTATAAGAGATTCAGTCTGGCATGGCTGAAGGCTATTCATTGAAACTGCAGTGCTGTAGTGGACCTCAGAGAGCTGAGGACCAGTGACAGGTAGCTCCTAATTCTTCAGTTAGCTGCATCCTCAGTGGGCTGAGCTCTTGTAAGATGTCTGTGCACAGCCCAGGATAAGGAGAGGAAGGACTTGCCTGTATTGAGGGGTCCATCCTATAACTTGGGATAGATGCTAGGGCTGAGCATGGTGATCAAAGTCCTGCTTCTGTTTGTGCTAAGTGGTCCTTGAATGGGTAGCTGCTGCTGTGTGCACAGGAAATCCTCTGCAACTGGGCACCCCTTGGCAGCACCAGCCTATGGCATAGACTGGGGTGTCTTGTGTGCTAGATGCAGGGAACCAGGGAATGGGTGAGGTCCCTGAACCCTTCTAGGCAGCCCCAGGCTGTGCTTGCAGGTGTAAGCTGGCTTCAATATGGAGCAGAACTGCTGCTTATCTGCTCCTGTTCCCAACTGCGTGGTACCTGGTGGATGAGACCTAGCGCAGCTGCCCTGACCTGTGCCTCACTCTCTCCTTGATGCAGATTGTGCTGTCCTCCCTCAAGCATGGCCTCTTTGGAGGTCAGTGGCTGCAACGGGTCAGCTATATCCGCTGGGAGGGTGTCTTCCGCTGCATACCCATCTTTGGCATGTCCTTTGCCTGCCAGTCGTGAGTACTGCTGTGTTGGGAAGTGGATGTTAGGGGTGGAGGGAGGGGACACGTAGGGAGGAATCCTCTGTTTTTCTCAGTTCTTTAATCTCTTGTTATTGGCTGCTGGGGAGTGATGTCTTGTTCCAGTATGGCCTGTCCTCTCCAAACTGAGGGAGGGAGTTTTAACTAGGAGTGAAACTGTTTCTGGGACTAGCTGGCAAGAGTGCCTAGTTTTCTAGGTTCTGTAAGGAGAGTTGGCTGTGGGGTGCGGCAGCAACCCAACCATCTGATTACACATAGTCCTGAGCGTGCTGCCAGAAGTTAGCTGTTCTGAGAATATTTAAAAGGAAATTGCACAAACATTGACTTTGGGCTGCTGCTGGGCAGTCTCTGAGGCCTGTGTGCCGGGCGGGGGTTGTGTATGCTTGAGGCTCTAAATCAGACCAGGCTACCTGAGATCCCAGCAGCAGTACCTTCTCCATCAGGGTGACAAGAGCTAGTGGTTTGTGCCCAGATGGGATCAGTAACCAGCTGAAAAGTGAGGCATAAACCCGGCATGGACAGGAAAAGACCATCTGTCTGGGGTGGGGGGAGCTGATGGAGTGACCCCCCCCCCAGTGTCGGTGGGCATGTATTGTGCCAATTGTAAACTAATGTGACAGATAAAATTTGCTCACACTGCTGTGTTTACACCCACATGCGAGATCCAAATCGTCATTTCCCACTTACCATCTCTCTCTTGGCAGCTCTGTTTCCACCAGAACATGCTCCAGCCTTGCTGTTTAATGTCCCCATTATCATCGGTGACAGAAATTACATTCTTGTTCTGCGTACCTAGTTACCAGTTGTCCTTTTTGTCTGCATATTTGCTTTTTTACAAAATAAGCCTGTAGTTGGGCTTCTTTGGTGGTAGCCACGTAGCAGCCAATGCACATCTGTGGGTTTAATTCTTAGGACAAATTATAGGTTCCAGGAGGGTGGGAGCACACAGCTCACTAAGTATAGGCTTCATCCTTCTCCAGGAGGGCCTGGGGGGCCACAGACTTGTCTGCATCCTCTGTGCTGGACAGCATGCTGCTCTCAGGCCTTAAGCACTAGATGTTCATCAGGAGTGGGCTCTTCCCTCCTGTGGTAGCCTGAACCAGAGGACCTGTCCCTGTTGAGGTTGCCCCCATACCCCATCTTGTGACTAGTCTGGTGTCACCATCACTGTCTGACCCTTCTGGTCTTTGAGGTAAATGAGTCCTGGGTTATATAAATAGTGGGGGAGGTAGAGGTACCCTAAGAGCTATGCATAGTTATGGAGGCTGCTGTGTGAAGTGGGCAGTCAGGATTAGAAGGGAGCCTATGTTCTTTCCATCATGCCCATCCCCATGTACCAGACATAGTCTCTCCCTACAGCCACCATAGCTGTCCTGGCAGTGACTCTGATGGATGTGTGTTGGAAGCTGGGAGAAGCACGTGTCCTAGAACTCTGGTGCTGGTCCCTCCTGGTGTGGACTCAGAGGCCTGTTCAGCACTGAGAAGTTGGTGCTGGGGCATGGTCTTCTCCAGAGCACCAGACTGGGGATTGGGGTGGTTTATCTTTGGGTTCTTTCCTGTATACCTGAGGCAGTGTGGGAGCATGGCTGCCTATTTCCTCCTAGCCTGACCACTGTTGTGGGCTCCTGTGCTGAGGGTGGCCTGAGGGACAGTGTGCTATGAGCTTGAGGTGAACAGGGTATGGTAGCTTTACCTGGCCAGGTCTTCTCACTTGTTCTTGTCTGTTTTTTGGCCAAGTTAGGGTGTCCTCTTTGTTTTTCTTTCATTTTTCAAAGTCATTTTTGGGATTTGGCTCCAGTGACCATTGTGCTTGTCCAGATGCTGATTTCCTGTATCCTGAAGCTCCCCACTGCTGGCTTCCTTTGGGCTTTTGAGTCCTGTTTGGAAGACCACAGCCACTTGGGACTTGCTGGAGGGTGGCCACTGGATTCTTTTCCTCTCTAGCCTTGTTCTTCAACCCATGTCCTTGCCTGAACTGCCCCTAATGTGCTCCTTCTTTCCCTTCTCCCCTTGTTACCCACTCCCTTTCTGTCTCAGCCCCCACCCCTTGCAGATGCCCAGGTCCTTCATGCTTTCCTCAGCTGGGCCTGCTGCCCGTGTCCTTGGGTGTGCTATTTGCAGAGAGCCTGCACGAGGCTGTTACATTCCTGCCCAGCCAGTGACTTGGGTCCCTCCCACCTGCCCAGCAGTACCACACTCCTGGCACTGGGCCTGGGACAGAAGCCAGTTTTCTCATCACACAGGCGAGAGGCCAAGAGTAGGGAAATGCACCTGGGCTGTCTCCTTGCCTGTATCCACCTCTGTGCCAGTGCTGAGGGCTGAGATGGCTCTGACCAGCCAGCCTTGTATTTAAGTTTCCTGTCCCTTGACTGAAGTGCTCTGAGTGGTTTCCTGCTTCTCCTATAATCATGGTTGCTTTAATTCTTAGCACTGTACCCCCTGTACCTTTTTCTGTGGCACAAACGTCCTTTGGTTCAATAGCATTTGTGAGATGTCCATATGGAGTGTGTTCTGTGGGGACTGGATTGGAGGCTCTTTATAATGCTGTCATCCACAGAGTCACAAAGCTTTCTGGCCTTGGCTCTATGAATCATAGTGTGCAGTAAATGTTGATTGCAGAAAGTGGTGGGGTTGTCAGTTGGGCTGCAGAAGAGGTCCTGGGAACTATTCCCTAGGGTGGGCAGGACTCTTTTCTAGAGTCTGCTTTGTGAACTGCTTGTCTTTACACAGCCAAGTCCTGCCCACCTATGACAGCCTGGACGAGCCATCAGTGAAGACCATGAGTTCCATATTTGCTTCCTCCCTCAATGTGGTCACCACCTTCTATGTAATGGTAGGAGCTCTTTCATACCCTCTCATCTCCCGGGTCACAGCAGCATGGGACACTGAATCCCTCCAGTAGGAAACCTGTATTCAAGACTCCATGTGGCACTTGCCATGCAGCTATCAGGCCACAGGCGTGTCCTTGACAATGTCCTTTCCCACCCTGGTGTCTAGAGACACACTGTGTGTGTGGTCACCAGGAGCATCTCTGCTTCCATACCGCAGTCATTCTAGGGTCTAGCCCTGTCAGTCACTTCTGCCCTGGGCTGTGTTGGCATCTTCCAATCTGAGAAGCTAGGTACCTCAACAACTGGGCTATTCCCAGATGTCTTTCACTGGCCAGCTTATTTCTCCAAGACCACTGTTAATTACTACAGAGGGAGAGATGCCCTCAGATTCCAACCTATAGTTACTGTTAACATTATAGTAGGTTTTTTCCCCAGTCTGCTGCCTTTTTTTTTTTTTTTTTTTTTTTTGTGGTACTGAGTTGTCAGGATCTCAGTGCCTAGTTAAGTACTCTAAGTGTGGAGCCATGCTTCCAGTTCCAGTTGGTTGTCTTTTTTTTTTCAATGTGTTTTTCAGATAAGGTCTTGCTGTGTAGCCCAGGCTGGCCTCAAACTCATGATCCCCCTACCTCAGCCTCCCAAATGCTGGGATTACAGGCTGTACCACCACAACTGAACTCTTTGTTGTCTTTCAATAAGATTGTAAATGTGCTTTGGTTTACATCTTGTTTCCCCTGCCTTCATGGTTGCAGCATTTTTTAGGTGATTATAGATGGGTCCTGGGAGACCATGGCTTACCTCATAATTCCTCAGCATTTTTTTTTTTTTTTTTGAGAAAGGATCTCACTATGTGGATAGAACCAGGCTGGCCTCAAAGTACTGGGATTACAGGTGTGAACCACCACACTTGGCCTCTGGTTGAGTTTTAAGAATCTTGTTAAACCAGGTAAAGAGTGGCCCCTCTCAAGGACTTGTGGGGAATTCTGGACCTACCTTTGCACATAGGCAGCTCCATTTTCTCCTTGTCTGGGGTCATTTTGAAGTTGTATTGGATCCCTCATCTTTAGCATGTTGCCTTCTGGCTATCATCAGAGGAAGTTTTGTGAACAAGATGTGGAATGGCACTTTTGTCCTTGGAAAGCTGACTTGTGCCAGCTTCCCTGAAGGGTGCATAGGCCATTCTGGGGCAGGCCCCTGCCGTAGGCACCATGCAGATCTGGCTAGCCATGTTGTGTTTCTCTTCTTCCAACAGGTGGGGTTCTTTGGTTATGTCAGCTTCACTGAGGCTACCGCAGGCAATGTGTTGATACACTTCCCTTCCAATCTGGTGACAGAGATGATTCGTGTGGGCTTTATGATGTCTGTGGCTGTGGGCTTCCCCATGATGATTCTACCATGCAGACAGGCCTTGAACACACTGCTTTTTGAGCAGCAGGTATGGTTCTCAAGGTATCCTCATCATTAGCCTGTGCTAGTTCTGGGTTTCCTGGGTGGTGGTGAGGGGAGCTTTTCCTAGCTAAAATAAGCAAACTTCAATTGACATGAAGTCTTTTAATAGGGTTTTTGTTGTGGTTGTTTTGGTGCTGGAGACTGAACACAGAACCACAAAACCTTGTACATGCTTAGCACATACTCTACCACTGAGCTGCACACTCAGCACCCTAATAGGGAATTTTTAAATCAACTTTGAAAAAAAGAGCACCAAAGAGGGGCCTTTTGGAGTCAGGCCAGGTGTGCATGTAGCTGAGGCTCATCTTGACTTCCCAGCACCGATGCTATGCTGTCAACCCCAAGTCAGAGGGACAGCTTTGTTTCACAGCAGGCCTGGGAGGGTTCCAGTGGGATCAGAAACCTCCTCGATTGGCTGGAGTCATGGGATGGGCTGCTTGTACTATTCGTTTACTTTTGTGTGACTCTGAAAATCTTAAAAGGATTGGGGGTGTAACTCAGTGGTAGAACACTTGCCTAGCATGTATGGGACTTGGGTTTGAGCCCCTCTCAGCACTGAAAAAAAAATCAGTATATGTTGGCATGGTTATGGTTGTGCTGTAGCTCTTGTCTGCTTTCTATGGCCTCTGCCACCAGGGATGGCAAATGCCCCTCATGTGCTCATCCTGCCTCCAGCAGTGTCAGGCACCTGGGTGCCAAATGAGGTAGGCTTTAGGATTTTGTCCCTTAGTGGGGGGCATGAAGCCAAGGGCAGCTCATCTGGTTGTGAGGTCCTCTCTGCTCTGCCTTTGCTGTGGGTTGCTGAAGACCATCTCTCATTATTTGGTGTGAATATGCACTTCCTATTAGAACAGCATTTATGCTTTTGTATATAACACATTTTTTACCATTTTTTGTAATGTTAATTAATCAATAGTGGGTGTTGATCAAGTAGTAGAGCACCTGCTTTGTGAGTATGGAACCCTGAGTTCAAACCACAGTCCCGCCAAAATAAAAAAATTCAGTTTGGCAGGGATGTCCCTATGGAGTCACACACAGTTGTCCACACTTTAATCTCTTTTTAAGAATCTTTCTCTTGCCGGACGCCTGTGGCTCATGCCTGTAATCCTAGCTACTCTGGAGGCAGAGATCAGGAGGATTGAGGTTTGAAGCCAGCCCTGGACAATTAGTTCCATGAGACCCTATCTCGAAAATACCCAACACAAAAAAGGGCTGGTGGAGTGGCTCAAGGTGTAGGCCCTGAGTTCAAGCCCCAGTACCACCAAAAAAAAAAAAAAAATTTCCTGATTTTGCTTTAAAAGCAGAAAGGAAAATGGAAGGATTCCATACTAACATTTCAAAACAAAGTTGTAAGGTTTATAGTAGAAATACCATTAATGCCAGGTACCTTTCTGGAGTTTTGCAGGTACCCATTAAAGTTGCTTAGCCAAATCTGATTCTGTAGGTGATGCTCATCTGCTGGCTGAGCTCCCTCCCAGCCCCAAGTAGAGAGTGTTGTGTGCTTGGCTAAGCCCTATGGCATTGCTCCATGGGAGCATGGTAGAGGAAGTCAGTCACTTCAGAACCATTTTGGTTTTATTTTCTTTCATGTAGCAAAAAGATGGAACCTTTGCTGCTGGAGGCTACATGCCCCCTCTTCGGTTTAAAGTGCTCACCCTCTCGGTTGTGTTTGGAACCATGGTTGGTGGCATCATGATCCCCAATGGTAAGGTGGACATCTGCTCCGGCAACTGCCTACTGCCTCTCTTGTGTCCCTTGCTTTGCTCCACTCTTGCTGTTAAATGGGGAGGAGGTTGGCAGGAGTGTCCTTGCCTTGTGCTTGGCATTCAATCAAGACTCCCAGTGCCTTGTACCATTCTTTCTGGTATCCTAAACAAGTCTAGAAACCCCAGGTCATTTTTTTCTTTAGCCTGTAGAGAAAGACATGGTGGGATAACATTGGCAGCGTGGTAGAATAGCAGACACGTGTTGAAAGCTAAGCAGTGGACACTTGGCAGAGATTCCAGGGGTGGGCCACAGGCCTGATTGTAAGATGAATGACTACTGAACTGCTCATTCCTTAGACTGTTGACTACTGAAATTGCTAACATTGGTACTAAGGGGAGCCCTGAAGGCCCTGAGCAGCATTTCCAATGCACACATGCACCTGTTCCCTAGCAAACAAGTGAGAGCTTGTTCTCACTAGACATACAGCTACTTGCAGGCCTCCGCCCCAGAGGCCACCTGTCTAGGCTCCTAACAGTGGCTTCTGGCTTTTACACTTCTTAGGACAAGTTACTAGGCCACCTGCCAAGGAACAGGGAGTGTGGACAGTGTGGTCCAGGCCATGTAGAGGCAACATCTGATTTTAGTAGAAAATCATTTAAAGATGAGCAGTTAGGGCTGGAGGTGTGGCTCATGTGGTAGAGCACTGACTACCAAGCACAAGGCCCTGAGTTCAAACCCAGTACTGTGGTATGGTGGGGGGCGGGGAGATGAGTGAGCAGATAAGCCCCCATGATGCCCAGATCCCTGTCTGACAAAACTGGTGGTTCATGGAGCCCTTTGGGCAGGGTGGGTTCCCCACTCTTCACTGGCACTAAGGTGACAGTCCAGTCACCTGCATGTCAGGTGAGAGTTCCGGCCGCCCTTCCTGAAACCATACCTGGTAATTCCTGACTGTTGGTCTATTTTTAGTGGAGACCATCTTGGGCCTGACGGGGGCCACGATGGGGAGCCTCATTTGCTTCATCTGTCCAGCTCTGATCTACAAGAAAGCCCACAAGAATGCCCTCTCTGCCCAGGTGAGTGTGCACTACCCCCTCAGGTGAGTGTGTACCCTCTCTTCCCATGTGAAGGCAAATGCTCCTCACCCAGTGGTCCAGTAGCTGTCCAGCCAGGCCAGTTAGGGAGAAGCAGCAGAATTGAGTCCCTCATTCAGAGTGTTCAGACAGGTTCTGTCAAATGATTTTTAGTTTCTTAGCACAACTAGTACTTGGTTAAGGAGATATGGATGGGTCAGCCAGGCTGAATTGTCTTTGCTCGTGCACATTGAGGACGTCCCATAGAGACGTCCCTGAGTGCTGAGTACTAATGGCTTTTCCCCCAAAGTGTTTTCCTACTGTAGGCTGTCCCTTTGCCCAGACACCCTGAGAACACTACAACTGCATTCATAGTATGTGCTAGGGAGACTGTGTTTGTGTGCATGCTCAACCTTTTTTCTTGGTTTTTAATAGTAATACAGCTTCCTGCTGCTTTTGCTTAAAATCCCTTGCCACAGCTAGGCAATGGTGGATCGCACCTGTAATCCTAGCTACTTTGGAGGCTAATATTGGGAGGATTGTGCTTCACGGCCAGCCTGGGCAAAAACTTTTCAAGACCCCTATCTTAACTAATAGCTGGATGCATTGGCATGCCCCTGTCATCTCAAGCTACATGGAAGATAGAGATTGGGAGGATCTCAGTTCCTGGTCAATCCAGGCAAAAATTTATGAGACCGCCATCTCAGTGGAATAAAACTGGGTGTGGTGGTGTGCACCTGTCATCCAAGTGTTGGAGGGAAGCATAAAGTAGAATTGTGGCCCAGGCAAAAGTGATACCCTATCTCAAAATAAGCAGAGCTAAAAAGGGCTCATGGAGTGACCCAAGCAGTAGAGCATGTGCCTAGGAAGGACGAACCCTAAGTTCAAACCCCAGTACTGCCAAAAAAAAAAAAAAAAAAAAAAAAAAAAAAAATATATATATATATATATATATATATATATATACACACACACACACATATGTATGTATACTTCCCTTGCAAGTGGTTCCTCAACCATGTGCATGTATACCCAGAGCTGCATTCTGGTTTTAGCTACTTCTGAGTGGTTGGTGATAGAAAATTCCACAATACTAGTGTCTGAAGGAGTCCAGCTCAGCCTTTGCTATCTCAGCACCACGGACACTTTGACACCTGTGAGACTCTGCCCTCAGGAAGCATTCCAGAAATGGGATTCCAAGGTTAGAGTGTGAGCCTTTTGCCCAAGTACCTGGTGATATCACTTCCATGGGCAGACCAAGGGACCTCTGTCCCCACACCATGACTTTTCCATCTTCCTTTTCTTCAGCTTTGCTGAAGTGAACAAGTAAGCATCTTTTCATGGGTTTAGATGCCATGCATTTCCTTCTGTGAACTCCTTATGTTTTTTGCTCACTTTGTAAGGAGATGTTGAGCTTTTCCGTATTGATGTGTGTTGGTAGATGTTTAAAAACTACAGTATACATGCAGTAAAGTGCATAATTCTTATCTACAGCTTGACACATTTTTTATAAAGTGAACCTAGCCAGGAAGCACTAACCAGGGCAGATAGAACATTTTGGCACCACAAAGCTTCCCTTGGGCAACTCTCTTCATATACCTCCATATTCCAGAGTTTATTGCTGCCTGTCTTCTGATGGGTTAGAATGACTTTTGCCCTCTTACTTTATCTCCTCTTTGAGCTCCCCACACAACTGTGCTGAGGGGCTTTTGGTTTCATGCTATGAAACCACTTACCACTCATTGTGGTAGGACAGATCACTTCTGGTCAGACACCACTGCTCTGTTTTTTGTTTTTTTGTTTTTTTTTTTTTTGAGGCAGAGATCAGGAGGACTGCAGTTTGAGGTGAGCCCAGGCAAAAAGTTAGTGACAACCCATCTCAACAAACAAGACAGGTGTAGTGGCTAATCACAGGTGCATACAACCATATTCAGCTTGTTTGTAGAGATGGGGTCTTGCTAACTTAAAAGATTTATTTTGGCTCATGGTTTCAGTTCATGGTCTCTTGGCCCCAGCTCTTTAGGTCTCAGGTGAAACTGAACATCATAGTGGTGGGAGCATGTGGCAGAGGGGGGCTGCTCACCTTGTAGCAGCCAGGAAGCAGAAAGGCAGAGACACAGAGAGCCCAAGTCAGCATATAGCCTCCATAGACATGCTCCTAATGACCTCTGTCCTCCAACCAGGCCCACCTCCTGATGTTTCCACCAGCTCCCAGTAATGCTATCAGAAATGAATCTGTCAGTGGACTTATTAATCAACTGATGAAAGCAGAGCCCTCATGATCCAATAAGATCTCAATCATTGGATCCATCAGCTGGGGACATAGACCTTCAATACATGAGCCTTTTTGGGGATATTTCATAGCAAAACCATAACAGCTTCCAAATATTTGGGATTTCCTAGTAATCTTTTTTTTTTTTTTAACTGCTTTCAGGCTTAATCCCAATGTGGTTGGAGATTGCACACTACAGAATTTTAGTCCTTTGACTTTGGCTGAGATGTGCTTTGTGGCCTGGTATGTGGTATACTATTATGGACATTCCTTGGGCTGTGTATTCTACAGCTGTTAGACGTAGTGCCCTGTGTATGTTGGTAGGGTCAAGATGTCTTGCTGGGATGGGCAAGGTGGCTCACTGCTGTAATCCTAGATACATGGGAGGCAGAGATCAGGAAGATCGTGGCTCAAGGCCAGCCTGGGCAAAAAGTTCACAAGGCCCCATCTCAAAGTAAAAACTAGGCATGGTGGTTTGTGTCTGTCCTGCTGAACAGAAAGAACAGATAGGAGAATCTCTGTTTAGAACAGCCTGGGTGAGACCCTGTTAGAAAAATAACTAAGCAAAAAGGGCTGGGGGTATGACTAAAGTGGTAGATCACCTGTCTACCAAATGTCAAGCCCTGAGTTCAAACTCCAGTACCACAAAAAATAAAAGAGTAAAAAAAGATTACTCTTTGTTTTTTGTCTTATCTGTTGTTTCTTTTTTGATTCATCAAGGATTTAAAGCATTCTTTTTTTTCCCCTCTTGGCACATTTTTATTCTTCTAGTGGATATACTTAGGCAGTTAATATGAATCCTTGATTTATTGGAGTCAACTGTAAATTTTTTCTTTTTTTTTTTTGATGGTACTGGGGTTTGAACTCAAGACTTCACACCTACTAGGCAGGAACTCTACCGTTTGAACCACTCCGCTAACCCTTTTTTTGTGTGTGTGTTGGGTATTTTTGAGATAGGGTGTGGAAACTATTTGTCTGGGCTGGTCTCAATCCATGATCCTCTTGATCTCTGCCTCCTAGTAGCTAAGCATGAGAGCCACTGGTGCCTGTCTAAAATCACATCAATTTTTTTTTTTTTTTTTAGCAGTACTCAGGGCTTCATTTTTTGCTAGTCAGGTACTCTATCATGTGAACCATTCTACCAGCTAAATTTTAAAAATATATTATTAATTGCTAGACAAGGTGAGTATCCCACAATATTTTAACTCAACTAAAGTCTACCCTGGGGCCTTTGTTGCTCTTGTTCCTATGTATTTTATTTTATTTATTTTCTGAGATATATTTGTGCTATGTAGCCCAGGCTGGCCTCAAACTCATGATCTTCCTACGTCAACCTCCCAAGTACTGGAATTACAGATGTATACTACCAAGCCTAGCGTGGTTCTTAAGTATTTTAATTTCACCTTTATTTGAAGCCCCACCAACATTATTGTTTTAACAACAGACAGTTTTTCAGTTATGATGACTCACCTACACTTTGTTGAGTTTACAAGAGTGTAAAAGCCATGCTCATATAGTAGAAACTGTACTTCGAATTTTGGTCTTTCCCCAAGCTAGTGATGTGTGGTATACTCTCTGCTGGATAGCAATAGTGAGCCACAGCTCCTAGTCAGTCCTTCATCAGAAAGGGAGCCCACCAAACTGGGGTGCTGTGTATCTCAGTTCCTATGTTCAGTAGGTCAGCTGCCATAGATGCATTTTCCGACTCGTGACAGTTTCACCTTACATCGGTTTTACTGAGATAGCCCCATCGTAAGTGCAGGAGCATCTACAGTCAGTTTTCATTGATGTTGTTCTTTTTGGTTTCTTGGTTTTCTGTCATTTGGCCCTGTCTCCTGGAATGCTTGGTATTTTTCAGCTGTGTTTGAGAAATTACAGAGGTTCTGGGTAGTGTTATCTTGTCAGACAGGACAGAAAAAAAGGCTATGTCCAGTTTTGCCCTTACTCCTAGGATCTCATGTAAACTCTGTCACCCTCATGTTGCTAAACTCTACTTAGCTTTCGTCCTCTTGACAGCTAGTCTGTGTTTCATTCTTGCTTGATTCTCTGCACAGCCAGTAGCTGGCTTGTGACTTGGAGTAGAATAGCACACAGAGGGGCTTCCTTCTGTCCCTCAGGCTGTGGCTGCTGAGAACCCATGGTCCTAGTTCTCAGTGACCAACTTCTCAAGTCAGCCCAGAATCCAGATTTCTGCCTCATGTTGTCCTTGCTGCTGGAACTATTGACTGCAAATGTCTCGGGCACAAGTGCTTGCCTCTGCTCCCTAGGGTCTCAGCTCCTCATGTCTGAACTGCTGAGGTTGTCCACCAGTGACTCTTGTCAGTTGGTAGGAGTTTTCATCTAACTTTGATAGTTAGGTGGGGAAACCAGCTTGATAGCAGCTCTTCTGTCATAGCTTGAGGCAGAAGTTTCTTTTGAGTTTGAGGAAACAAACCCATTGCCTGTGAGATTACAAATGTTTTTCCTAGTTTGCAAGTTCCAGTTTTTAATGCCCATAAATAAAATGCCTATTTTTGTATGTAATTGAACTTAGGGCATTGTGTTTGCTAGGCAGGTGCTATTGCTTGAGCCATGCCCTAGCTTTCTTTTTTTAGAAAAAAAAAAAAAATCATGGAAATACCTTCTTCACTTCAGCATTATTTTAAAAAATTCACCCATCATTTGACTTTTTTCATTTGAATCCTGATACTTTTTTTTTTTTTTTTTTTTTTTGTGGTATTGGGGTTTGAAC